TTAAATACGAATAAACGTAATGTTGAAATTTTTATCAGACGTTTATATTGGATGTTTAATTTATTGACATTTGGTATTTTTTCTAAAAATATCGATAAAAAAAAATTTCGTTGTCGAAAACTTTGAAAATTTAGTATTAAGTAAAAATGTATTATTAATAAAAAAAAAAAAGTTTAGAAATAGCTGCTGATTTTTAGTAGCCATCTAAAACTGTTTTCCACTTAATTCCACTATGTAGCATGATAGGCCAATAAAATCAAAAAGAAATCGCTATTTTCGTTATTTATGTCCTCTTATTACTTACTTACTCTCAAAATAATAGTCTAACACCGGTTGAACGACAACAAGTAATATATATAAATTATTATCCGACCTAGCCATCGGGTTACGAAATTTCCGATTGTAAGTTGCAATCGCCCACCACTGCTACATAACCAGTAAACTGAGTAAACACTAAACAGATGACGATACTTGGGCACTGACAAGTGACTATTACTGAATACTGACTACCGTCTACCATGACACAACGAGTAGCACGTATTGCCATTGCATATGCATTTTTAAATGAGTAATTTTTTCGCATGACGATTTTGTCATAGAAATACCTATATACATATTGTAACACCACTAACAGATTGATTTTTTTTTTCTACGTTGATACCAAACGTCGGACCTCCGTAAAAATTAATTTGTTGTTAACGATTGGATCATTTAAATATCCTAAAACTCGATTATTCAATTATTGTAATATTAATGTGGTTTGTGACTTGTGTAAAGGTGTTCAACAATCGACAGACGACAAACGTCAAACGAGTAACCACAAGACGACTTACACTTTACACGACTATCGAATAATTCGATTGTATTCTCGCAACCAATCGGGTTATCATATTTATTTGATAAAAGCCATCGTTTATCATCGTGATTTATGAATTCCATCTCCATGCGTTGTGGGTAGTATTGCGGCTACCGGCTCACACATTTATCCTCGTGTACAAGATCATATTATACGGTTTCACTAAAACTTTTTGTAGTTATTGTTGTTTGATCGTTGTACGTTTTTACCAAAATGATGTCACAGAACCGTGCTCCAGTTTTGGTGTTGAACTCTAACACTAAAAGAAAATTTGGAAATAAAGTTCAAAAAGAAAATATAGCCGCAGGTAAGAATATGTTTTATGTCTAGTTTTTTACATTATTTTATCAACCGTTTTTAACTTCTGTCACGTTTAAAAACGAGTACAGGTATCTAATTATGTAATATACATAAAATTACATATGTACACGTTGTATGTTTTCTTGTGTTTATTATAACTTATTAACTATCAATGACATTAGTTATTTTATTTTAATTTTTTTTTAAACAATTTTATACTCCGGCCTTTGAGAGAATATGCCCAAAATGCGTCTAAATTCGCGTATCCCTTACCATTTTTAATGTTAGTATTAGTTCAAATCAGTCGTTGCTGTCAGTCTACATACCCGAAACGGGTGCGTTGGCCAGATTATAGTACAACCATTATTGGTATTATGGTGATTAATTGTTAATATTTTGAAAACTATTGATTTCATTATTAAATAAATTTAATAAAATGATGTTTATTGTAAGACATTTAAAAATATAATATTTTGGTGTTAATTTTAAAGTTCTATCTTAATAACAATGAAACATTAATAAAGTGTGCGTTATATTCACTCAATATCAATGGCAATATTATGTTACATTGCAATAGAGTTAAATATATTGAAATTTAAAATTATTTAGATTACACATATAAATACATGAAATTGGTAATAATTTTAATGTGCAATCAATTTTTATTTTTCACAAGAAGTTTTGCATGAAGTATACCATATTTAAATGCATGGTATTAGATTTTATGTTGTTAAAAATGTATTAAGTATCTTAATACATTTTTAATGAATAAATTTGTATTAAATATAATTTTTCTTATTTATTTGTTTTTTTCAAAATAATAGTTAAATTCAATTTTGGTTTTATTCCTTTTAATATATTTTTGGTTTGTATTTATTTGAATATAATTTCAGGTAAAGCAATTGCAGATGTGGTACGTACCTGTATTGGACCCAGAGCTATGCTTAAAATGTTAATGGATCCAATGGGTGGAATTGTAATGACAAATGATGGTAATGCAATATTACGAGAAATCACTGTCCAGCATCCAGCAGCCAAGTCATTTATTGAGATTGCTCGTACACAAGATGAAGAAGTTGGTGATGGTACTACTTCAGTAGTGGTACTTGCTGGAGAAATTTTAGGTGTTGCTGAACAATTTTTGGAACAAAAAATTCATCCAACTATAATCATTAAGGCATACCGCCAAGCCCTTGAAGACGTGTTAAATATTTTAGAAAAAGAATTCAGTATCCCTTTACCTATGGATGATGAAAATAAACTTATTGAAGTAATTCAATCATGTATAGGTACTAAATTCATAGGTACCTGGTCAGATTTAGCATGTGGCATTGCTCTAAATGCTGTAAAAACAGTAAGAATTAAAGAAGAAGGCCGTACTGAAATTGATATAAAAAGGTATGCCAAGGTAGAGAAAGTGCCCGGTGGCGCAATTGAAGATTCTGAATTATTAAATGGCATTATGTTGAACAAAGATATCACACATCCTAAAATGAGAAGATTAATCAAAAACCCTAGAATCATTCTTTTAGATTGTTCCTTGGAATTTAAAAAAGGCGAAAGTCAAACAGATGTGGAAATTGTAAAAGAAACCGATTTTACCAGGTTATTACAGATTGAAGAAGAGTTTGTTGAAAAAATTTGCAACGATATTATTGCGTTGAAACCAGACTTGGTATGTACTGAAAAGGGAGTTTCTGATTTAGCCCAACATTACTTATTGAAAGCTAATATATCCGTGATTAGACGTTTAAGAAAATCTGATAACAATCGTATTGCAAGAGCTTGTAATGCTACAATAGTGACACGAACCAGTGAACTTCGTGAAATTCATGTTGGAACGGGAGCTGGTCGTTTTGAAATCAAAAAGATTGGTGACGAATATTTCACATTTATTACTGAATGCATCAACCCAAAAGCCTGTACTATATTACTTAGAGGACCTAGCAAAGATATACTGAACGAGGTCGAGAGGAATTTACAAGATGCTTTACACGTGGCTAAAAACATTATGTTGAACCCAAGATTAGTTACAGGCGGTGGTTCCATTGAAATGGCTATATCGCAGGCATTGATGAAAAAGAGCTCAAATATAGCAGGTGTTGTCCAGTGGCCCTATAAAGCTGTTGCACAAGCATTAGAAGTGATACCACGTACTCTTTTGCAAAATTGTGGCGTTAGCACCATAAGAACAATGACGTCATTAAGAGCCAAACATGCAATTAAAGGCAATGAGTATTGGGGTATCAATGGTGAAACTGGAGAAATGTCCAATATGAAGGATCTAAAGGTATGGGAACCAATTGTTGTTAAATCTCAAGTATATAAAACTGCAATTGAAACTGCCATATTATTGGTACGAATTGACGATATTGTATCAGGAACTAAGAAGATTGGAGATGATGGACAGCCAAAACCAACTGCACAACCAACTGAAGAATCTATGAAGGAATAGTTTTTTTTTTTTTTTTTATTGATCATTTAATTCATTTTAAAAACATTTCTATCTTCCAAAAACTGGTTTTTGCTCATTTATACTAAATACTTTGTCTAATGCTTGATCATATAAAATTATTTTTGTGCTTATGTTATAACATTAATATTACAAAATTATTTCTATCATGTTAATATATTTTTAAAAAATCTTCAGTGTTTAAAGCTATTAAAATTTAATAAAAAAAAATGTTTCTATCGCATACAATTTTAAAATATGTAAAATATATCTCTACTTTTTTATTTTTATGATAATCTGTTTTTGTATCATTAATAATATTATCATTTAATTGTTGATTTTCCATTTTAATATTTCATAGTAAACACGTCTTTATAATACAATATGAGCAATCAAATAAACAGCCATTAGACAAGTTTAATATTAAGATAAAATAAATATAGTTTTGAGACAAGCTACAATCCCTCTTTGTAAAACCATGTAAACCAACTTCCAACCAATCAAAGATAATAATAGCAGATAAATATTATTTTAATTACCAATATGAAAAATGGATTATGCAAATACTAAAAGTACTTTTCAACTATCTTGACTGTCCAATTATATCTGTATAATATTTTTACTTCAGGTGGTATTTGTTGAAAAAATATAAAAAAATTTTCATTTAAAGTTGAAGATAAGACTGTTGTCTACAGGTATACTTAAAATGCAATATTACAATTGTTGATAATTTTTAAAATAGACATATAATAAGAAATAGAAATTTCTGGTTATGGAGATTAATACAAAAACAAATAACGTCACATCTTGGATAAATAGGTATGTGTTGTTAAACTCGTAATGATCAATTCATTGAAATTTAATCAAGCACTTTCCACAGAGCCAATTATTAAGTTTTTATAACCATATTTGGCAAATTTGTCAATTTTATATATGTTATAAAAAATAAATTGTCACATTGCTTGATAATAAAATATGTATTATAATGTGTTCACATGCGATAATACTGTGTAGTAAGGACAACTGAAAAGTGCTAAAATATTATTATTGCAAATATTCTTCCAGATATGACACAGTTTATTTATGATATTTATTGATGGTTTATTTATTTAAGATACATTATCTTGAGCATATTCATGTGTGCATAACATAATGATGCCATCATTAATAATTATCATGAAAAAGTTAATACATGTGTATTAAAATACATAAAATGAAGCGTTTACCATGCTTTTTATTTTTTCATAAATAATATAATACAAATTGTTCACACTTAAATTATAAAGTGATTACACTCACATAAAAAAAAAAAAAAACAATTTTGATATAAAAAATATGCGCTACATAATAACTTGATTATGTAAGAAATAGTTTAAATTAAGTAGCTATAAATGAGTTAAGTCATAAATAGGTTTACAATAATATTATCTATGAGTGTACCTAAATCATATAACAGTAATAAAATGAGATTCAGTTCGAAAATGTTCACTTAATAGAAAAAGAACAAGCATCGAATCAATATAAAATTGAAAATGAATATTAATAATTTGATACTTGTTTGATAGATTGTTGTTCATTTATCTTTTGCTTATCTCGACTTTTAAGCCTGAAAATTATTAAAATTATAAACAATTATTTAGTTGTTTCAAGTGTTTTGAGTGTAAATTACAATTCATGAAAAACAGTGTCATATGCTTGAATTCTTAAGACAAACTGAATTAAAACCATGAACTATAATGAGCAAAGATAAAACAAATAAATAAAAATTTATTTACTTTCAATGATGTCCAATTTCATTCGGTTTAATTCTTTGCGTATTTCACGTAGTATATCTTGTTTTAATGTCTGTAACTCTAATGATATATTTGATATACAATTGTCTCCAAACGTCTTAGATGCTATTAAGTCTTCAGTGGAAGTAGCAGACAATTGTTTTCGGCCAAGTTTAGGACTTTCACAACCATTTAATGAGCTTTTTTGACTATCATTACGATTCCAATTTTTTTTGTCGCCAGGTGATACACTTTCATCCTACAAGAAAAATTCAAGCAATTATTTTATGAAAAATGTTTTTAAGTGTTTGCCAAACACACTGTCTATTTAGTTAAACATTAATGTCTTTTAATAGAAAATTATATTTTTATATGCTATATTAAATTGGATGATAAGAACATCAGTCGTATGATCTTAAATATATAGCCTTATATTAAATAATATCCAAAATGTTATTAAAATACAAAATAAATACGAACCTGAGGACAATCAACTGGTTCTTTCTTTTCAACAGCAGCTCGACGTCTTGCTAATGTACGTGCCATTTCATCCATCATTGATGCCATACCAGTTTGGCCACCATTTGCATTTCTACCAAGGGTTCCATAATTTCCACTTCCGCCACTGCTAGCACTACTCGTAGATGAGCCGCTATTTTCAGCTGGATGCTGCTTTAGCGTTAATAAAAAAGAAAACATAAAAATTAAATTTCAGACTTAGGGTTTTATAATTATAGCAACATACCTTATTGGTACGTTTTAAACGAGCCGCCTGTAACTGTACAGCTAAAGACGATGTTTGGTCAGCAACAGATTCACTGTGATCAGGTTCTCCATTACTACTAGGTCTTGGTATACTGCCAGGCATTGGAGGTGGTTGAGGAGGCATAGGGCTAGACATACCTGGTGGAGGAGGAGGAGGAACTGGTGCTGGTGGAGCTGATGATGTGCGGTGGTGACCTGAAGTAGGCAACTGAGGAGGTGCAGGTGGAATTGTTGGTAAACCGTTTGTTGTGCTAACGACTAAAATAATATGAAATTATTTTTATTCCAAAAAATATCATACAAGTTTTTAATTATTAATATCACTAATTGAAATGTTTAAAGAAAAATATTAAACTCATTATCATAGCTTACTTTGATTTTGCTGAGACATTCTTCTTTCTTGGATAATGGCAGCATCATCTTTCGTCAAGCTTCTGAAATGATTAGGTACATTATTTGTACACCAATCTCTGAGTTAAATAAGCAATTAGATAACAGCAATTTATTCGATTTATAAAATATAGGTATTTATGATATAATACCTGTATCCCATATCTTCATCATATTGTCCATTTGCTTGTTGATATATAGGAGGTGCTGGAGGTAGTATATGATTGTGAGGATTATTAATATTATTCCTAGATACAGAATCTAGAACCTAAATTTAAAAAATGCTTAGTAAACCTTTCTTTAATCTTTTTCCAAGTATAATAAATAAGCAAAATTATGGGTAAATTATAACTTAATTTAAAATACCTCAAGAGCATAAACCATAGCTCGTGCAAAAGAATCAGCATCTTCTTTGCTACTAAAGTTCAAGCCATATACATGTTTATTATCCCTCCATTGGTGGAATGTTGTTGTTGCTTGGTTATATTTTAGAGTCTTTAAAATGACACAGTTAATAACAACCTGTACAAAACATTAAAACACAATACTATAGTGTTAGAAAAAGAATATTGTGTACATTGTTTTAATTGAAGTATAAACACAGAATAATTTTAATGGAGAAGCAAACATGTTTATAAAATGTTATTCTTTTTATACTCATTACATTTAAATATAATTACTTTATATTAATTTAATTTGAAGCAAAAATAAAGAATAAAAGAGAAATTTAATATTTGATAGTTTTATCAAGTATTTTAATAAGAAATTGTAATGTAAAAATATTAACTTTTTTTTTTTAATATTAGACATAACAATTTTAATTTAAATAAATACCTCATGGTCTTGCAATTTTCTTCCAACTACACGGAATGTATTATTGATCACATGTTTAAAAATGTGTACTTTACTAAGACCCGACGATGTTCCACTTGGAACCCATTTTTTGCTGTTGTCATCATAAATCATCACAGACGCTCTGGCTGATGTAATACTTGTTTCACTGAAATAAATGAAATAATTTATAATATAAATTTTAAGATATATCAACTGTTAAAAAGCATAACTTAATAAAACAAACATCAAATTTTATAGCTAGATAATTTATGAGTTATGTATTTTTTTCATTTTTATTTTTTCTACTTTTTATCTTTAATATAGATAACATACATGCAATATCTTGATTACTTTATTTAGAACTTTTGAATTATCTTAACCACATAAATATTTACAAGACTACTTATTATAACCTGATAACATAGTATTAGTATATAGTTGGTTAAAAAAAATTGTCATCTATTATTAAATTTCCATTTCCATGTTTTAATCTTATTATCATTGTAATATATAATTTAACTTTATATTTAATGTTAAATTTACTTATTCATGTATCTAACCATAAGACAGACTATAAGTGAGTATTTAATATTACACAAAATATTACATCAGTTGATAATTTATTTGTATTTTGTTTTATTTTTTTTTTTTAAATTACTTAAATTTTAAAATATTTTTTACTTTTTATATTCTTGTTAAATACTCAATAAATAAAAAAAAAAACTAAATGTTTATTAATTGTTAAAAATATAGGTAATACAAATATACACTATTTTATTTAAAAATGACAGTAGTTAAAATAACCTGAAAGTATTCTTTATTTATTATACAGTGGACTTATTAGATGAAAAAAAATTATAATTTTAATAATAAAATACGTAAATTAGTGATAAAAAATCTTACATTTACTGTAAGTTAAAAAAATAAAAACACATATATACAATGTACTAATATAAATTACGAAATTAGATATAATACTTATCAAGTTAAAATTTGGTACATAATTACTATTATTATTGTTTATTATTTTTATATTATATTTAGTATATAAACATTCAAATTCATAGAAAAAAAAAAAAATTATGATAGGGATGGGTAGATGATAATAACAACAATGATAAAAATAATAATATAAATCAGAGTCAAATTTAAGAGAAGACAACCGTAGCCTCAACTTCAGGCTTCCACAAGAGAAAGCACACATAAATAGGCCCTTACAGACCAAAACCAACAAAAAAATTTTTTAAAGATACCAAATAGTATATAAAATTATATTTGTGAAATAATAAAATATTTTTTAACTACTTTAAAAATTGAATACCATATATATTTTCATTTCATATCAAATAATATATATTAGCAGATCGATATAAAAAATATTATTTAAATTTCCAGTTAACAGCAAACTAGAGAATTCTTAGAACTGTTTAATCGTTTTATTCTGTCATTTTGTGAAAAAAAATCGCAAGATTCTACTTGTTAATGTCATATCTTAATTTGATCTATTTCTTGAATTCAATTTTTTTTTTCTAATAATAAATTAATAAAACTCTTAGAAAAAATAAATATTTAACATATTTAAAAAATGATTGGAGGTCTCCATATTTCTAAATATAGCCCTGATACAAACACAGTAGATGTGTTAAGAAAAATATATGTAAATATTTTTATTGTTGGACAGTATCAAAAAATAAAATAATACAATATATTGTGTTATTAACTTTAATTAAAATATAAAAATCAACATTTAAATAGATACACATTAATAATAAATTTATTATAGATCTGTTCCATAATTTCATAAAATTCATTTGAAGTAAGGTAATAAAAAGTTTGTGAAATTATAAACAAATAACTTATTAAATGTTCATAGCATAAAAACAAAATAATCATAAAATAGATGTTGAATGAAATGTTATCTATTAAATATATGTAGGTGGTACTTTATATTAAGATAGTTAACATAAAATATTATATTGGAAGGCATTTTTATTTTAGGCCATGTTTTATTGTGATTTTAAAATATATTTATATATTAATATATTATCTACTAACTACTATATGTGGGTGGTACATTATATAAATATAATTAACATAAAGAATTATAATGCATGGCACAGTTTTTTATGTGATATTTTATTTTGATTTGAAAATTCTATTATCAACTTCCTGTTTTATTTGTTGAGTTTGACTTAAATGTTTATAGTTATATGTTTAAGGTTCAACTAACTAGCCTACATATATAACAATAAACAAAAAACAAATGACACAGTAGATGATACTTAGTGAATAACAGTGCCGTAACTAGAGGTTGGCGACATGGGCGCTTGCCAAGGGCGCAGTAAAATAAGGGGCGCGCTTTGAGTTAAATTAAAATTGGTTTCTCATGTATTTATTAAATTGAGCGTAAATGTATAATGCACAAACATTACATACTGATGCCCTTAAGCGTGTTTATTACCATTAAATTTATAAACAGGAATACTGATATAAATTATTTATTTTTGCGTGTGTAAGCATATGCATATATGGCTGAACGACAAACGACCATAGTAATGATTAACACAAATAATAGTTTTCTATCGTTAACTAATATTGTACGCATACGGCATATACTCATACTTTTATAATATAATATTCTATAGTATAGAGATTAAAGTTTATCATTGACATTGCCACACATTACATTATAGGTAGGTACGTTTTCTCGTATTGTCATCTTGCCATTTGCAGTCGGTTTCCGTCATTTTATATTAGTGTAGAGTAATACTGTAATCATAATTCTTTAGTAATAGTGTTTTCGATACAAGAGCTGCCGAACAACGGTGTATCATATCAAGCTATGTTTTTAAATTTAATTGTAAAATTGCAAATACATTTAGGTAGGTAGCATTATACATCATGTGTTAAGTAGGACTTAACTTTAGCAAACGTTATTATTATTTTATTTATTTTAATCTTAGTTAAAATCTCATTTTAATCAAATAATATTCGGTTAGTTTCGTTTGCATTATTTTGTAAATTGTTATTTTTCCTATAAGTTTAATTTTCTTTAATTAAAAATTTCAATATTTTGATGTTCTGAATACATCGTAATTTTCAATCATTTAGATTTTCCATATTAACAGATGGTATATTCATTGCCATTTATAATCAGTATATTTTATTTTATCAAGAATGCCTCCAAAAGCCTTCTGGGGCTTAATTCAAAATTAAGAAAGGAACAGGAGGAAAAGAACGCGCCCGCAGGAATCGATTTAGAAACTGGTTATCTACTTCAACTTCATCTGACCATCGTTCATCTGATCAAATTAACTTTGAAAATATACCGGTTCTAACACTTCTTCAACTGTAACTTAATCAAATATTATAGTTTCATAACCGATAATTCGAGACTGAACCCGAATTATAGACCAATTTCAAATAGTCATAGACTTTTCAGACCCAATAATGGCCATTGGTAAATGATGATAAAACACAGTGGCAATCGTCGAGTAATGGTTTCAACCATAATTGTATAATGATTTATCAAATTATATTTTCCTAGAAACAATGATGGTAGGCATTTAGTTCAAAATGGACGTATAAAAAGTCTTCCCAACGGAGAAAAATAAGACGAAAATGGATTTGGTTTATAGTTGTTCAACAGATAAATTTTATTTATCGTGTGTTTATTTTCAAAATGCAGAGTTCACTGCATTTACTGATACTAAAACAGTTGTGGCGATTTGGAAACATCTAAACCTAATATGTCAGTTCACTGAAATACAATGCTCACCGACAATGTTATATAGAATGATAGAATTAGAAAATCACTAAAAAGGAAAACAATAGATGACGATTTTCAAAAGTGATAAAGTTGAAAACAAAAATGGCGTGACTTTTAAAAGTAGTAATTGATGTCATATTATATTGTGCAAGAAATAATTTGCTTTCCGAGGGTAAATCAGGAATAATAGGAGAAAATAACTGCGGCATTTTTGAATACTAAGACGATGATCATTATCATCCCTTTTAGCAGAACATATTTCAACATATAAATAAATATATACAACATGTAAACTTCTATACCATAACAAACATATGATGAAATCTAAAAGTCAATAAGTTATTTTTCACCAAAAATTCAAACAGTTATAAAATCTATGGGTGAAAAAGTTGGAATAATCATATCAAAATAAAGATGCAAATATTTTCCATTATATTTGACTGTGCTCAAGATCTTTCCATAAGGGCAAATGGGTCAGATAATAAGATATTTAAGTGATTGATAATCAATGTTGTATTAAAAGTTTATTGATTTCATTGTATCCGGAAAACTGGTCATGGACTAGCGACCGAAATAATGAATAAATTCAAAGTGATGGGTTAAATATTGAAAATTGCAGAGGTCAAAGTTTTGATAATGGTGCTAACATTGTGAATATAATGGAGTTCGTCTAAGCTTATTCAAATCAACGAGTGGGCAAAGTTTATACCACTG